GAGCGTCCAGTCCACCTCCTTGCATCTCTTTGGGCTGCGGTTGGGAAAAGGAGCACCCGGAAGACCTCCACATAAACGCAATACAGAAAGGCCCGAGCTCTCAGATTCCAATCCTTTGCCATAAGGCAACAGTGCTAACAACTGAACGGCCATGTTTCCTATAACTGGGATCATTTAGTGTAGATACTGTGATGCACCTAAATGGTGGTGTCTTGTTTTTCCAGGATATTGGTCTCAGATATTGGCTTCATGCCATAAAGCAATTTGTGAGGCTAGAAGATTTTCTTAGCAACAAATCAAGTTAACTTGTATTGTATCTATTAAATACAAGGTATTTCAAAATGTTACATTAGACATCATTAGACATTTTTTTATCTTTGTGCCATACATGAGTGTGTAACGTGCAGTGGCTGTATGCCAAATGTACCATCCTTCGGTTGGACTTTTCATGACTTTCACCATTGTCCTTCATGTCCAGCATGAACATTTAGCAACAGCCACTGGCCTGGGGCCCCTGCTGTGTCTAAGTGGCATGCTCGGAGAAAGACATGGCACCTTGACTCATAGAGCCAAGTGTCCTACAGCTCCCACACCGTAAAACGCTGTATAAAAGGGTGTGTGCGTGTGTGTGTGTGTGTGTGTGTGTGTGTGTGTGTGTGTGTGTGTTTCTGTGTATATGTGTGTCCTTCAGTGCTTCCAGCTCAGGAACTTCAAGAGCTGTGTGTTGGCCAGGAGGATCTCCCAGGGATAAACAGAGGGAGAAACTAATCCTTACTCTCCTCCACATTCAAGCAGTGTGTGTTTTTGTGTGTGTGTGTGTGTGTGTGTGTGTGTGTGCATGTTTGCTTCACCCGTGGCTGCTGTCGGCAAGGTTGTGTGTGCATGTTGTTGTATGACCTTAAAGCATTAGAAAAAGATGTGTTACAGGCACGCATGTTTAGTCCATGTCAATCACTGGCATATTTAGAAATCTGTGTTTGTGTGCTCGTGCGTGCCCGTGCGAGTGTGCGTATGTGAGAGGGATAGAGACTGTGAGGGGTTTTGTGTAATCGTGCTGAGCGCTGAAGCGTGTCGAGAGAAAGGACATGTCCTCAGCTCCGATCGCATAGTCTACTACAACCACAATAGAGGGAGAGAGATAGAGAGACGGACGGGTGTTAGGGAAGAAAGGGGTGGGGGGGGGGGGGGGGCATGAAATGAATGGATGATATAGAGGGAGAGAGAGAGAGAAAAAGAGGGATTGAAAGGGAAGGTTTCAGAGTAGATGGGTGAGTAAAAAAAAGATGGATGGAGGGATATGTCTAGAGTGGGGAAGAAAGAAAGGAGAAAAGGGCAAGGGAGTGATGAAGAAAAGGGAGTGACAGAGACAGAGTAGGGTTGAGGAAAATAGAGGCAGAGATGGAAGAATGAGAAGGGAGGATGGACATGGGAAGCTCGGCTGATTGGTTTGATCTCCCTCGAGTAATTTTTTTCTTTCTTTCTCCCTATCTCTCTTTCCCTGCCCCCTATTTTCCTCCATCTCTTGTACATTCAGCTAGGGCTCCCTTGTCGCAGCAGACCAAAGAAAAAGTCAGTCCCGCTCTTAGCTAGCCGGCCCCCTCAGCCGGCTGGCTAATTGCAGAGGTATCACTGTGTCAAATGACTAATAGAGTTTCCTTTCCAGCCGCTAATCTGCCAGCAGGAGCACAGCCGTGATTTGTTTACTCTACGCCGAAGCAAGGGAGTACAAAGACAGACCCGCCCTTATATTTTTCTCTCCCAACACAATTTCATGCCGCCAGAGCGTTAATTGTGAGAGGTGTTAGTGGAGTGTGCATGTGTGTGTCGCCGCATTTCATGATATGTGTTGTGTTTCATGGGACGGCACAGTGCCTCATGCTCTCTTTTAATTCATGAAAGACACACCGTCTCACTCTCATACACACATATGTTTGCCTTACTAGAGACGATACATTTCTGTTTTGTTTTTTCTATCAACCTGAACATTCAACTTTTAAATTGTTTTGTGATATTTAAACCTAAATGTAGTTTAATTATAATCCTAAACTTCAATCCCAACTGACACAGTGTTTTAACACTGGTCAAAAATGCCAAAGGTCTAAAACCCCAACTGGTTTGCAAAGACATGAATACAAGAATACATGCACACACACACACACACACACACACACACACACACACACACACACAC